GCGTGAGTACCTCAAGACCATCCTGCACCGGGTCTATGGCAAGTTCCTGGGGCTCCGGGCCTACATCCGTAAACAGTGCAGCCACATCTTCCTCCGGTAGGTGCTTGCTGTCTGTCCATCCGAGACTCGGGGAGGGACAGGGAGAGCTGTGGGGAGAAGACTGAGGCACAAGCTCCCAGCTGGGGGCCCCTGTGGAACTCTGGTTTACCAAGTTCTTTCTTGGCAACATATTACACAGTATTGATTTTTCAAAGCCTGTGAAGGCAGCAGAGAAAAGGTATTTATTTCCATTTTACAGATGAAGAAATAGAGATGAAGTGGCTTAAGGGACTAGGTCAGTCCGGGAGGCCTAGGATCTAAATCTTTTGACCCCTGTTGTGCTGAGCCATAGGACCCAAAGATTCTTTCTGCAAATGTGTATTGAGCGCCAGTGCCTGCTTGGCATCGGGCCCACATAGCCCTCTAGTTGAGACTGGTGCTGGAGTTAGACAGCCTGTGTTTGAGCTTGGTTCAAATACAATAGTTGGGTACTCTTGGGAAAATTATTTAAGCTGTCTCCTAGTTTGCTCAACTCCAACATGGGAATGATAGCTATACCAGGGACAGTCATCAAGATAAAATGAGGTGATGCTTCCAGAGCACTCAGTACAGCACCTGGACTGAGGCCGGGGCTCTAAAAAATTAGCTCTTATTGTTATTAGCTACAAAATAGGTGAGACATGATCCCCTCCAGGAGCTCTGAGTCCATTAGATCCCCCGCTTATTAACTTTGGGACGAGTTTCATTTAACCTCTGAGCCTCAATTTCTTTATCCGTATAATGGACCTAAGAAGCCCTGCCTCCCAGGGTGGTAATTTTGAGAAGTGTATAGCACAGAGCAGATGCTGTTTGTCATTTTTTGGGTTGACTGGCATGGAAGAGTGAAGGACACAGGCTAGGTGCCTGCTGACTGGATGGGGACCAGGGAATGAGGGTTAGGGTCTCGGGGAGAGATGAGTTGGAATGCTTCACAGAAAAGTGGTTTGAGCTGGGACTCAAGAGTGGCATTGGTGGCTGGGTTGAGAAGGGCGATTCATGGTGTGTGTGGATCTCAGTGGGGCCTGGCGTAGGATACTGGGAAGGACATGGCCTCTGGGTTGGGAGAAAGTTTGATGAGTGTGCAGGACTGAGGTGGGCAGGCAGGATGGCTGAGACGGGGGCTGGGCCTGCTCTGATTGCTCTGACCCCTTCTGCATCCTTCTTACAGGTTCATCTATGAACTCGAGCACTTCAATGGTGTGGCTGAGCTACTAGAGATCTTAGGAAGGTGACTGTCCCTCGGCCTCAGCTAGAGCATCAGCATTCTGAGAAGACGGGCTGAGGCCCAGTCATCTGAGCCCTCCTTCTCTCTTCTGCCCCCTTCTCAGCATCATCAATGGCTTTGCGCTGCCCCTGAAGACTGAGCACAAGCACTTCCTGGTTCGGGTCCTGATTCCCCTGCATTCCGTCAAGTCACTGTCTGTCTTTCATGCCCAGGTAAGGCCCAGGCCTGGCCCTACCCCAGCAGAGAGCTGACAGAGTCAGGGCAGCCATATGGGTCAGCCTGACACTCTGGCTCCAGCCACTCTTTGCCACCAACTCATGGGATCCCCTTTCACCTTCTCTTTCTTTACTAATCCTGTCCCATTTCCCTTAGAGAATTCCCATGACCCCGTAAGGCTGATCTGAGACATCAGCTCTGTGAAGCCTTCCCAGCCCTTTCCCTCTCAACCCGCCCAATTAGGATTAAACTTTCCTCCTATAGTCCTGTAGATTGTGATTCAGATTTCGGTTATGGAACCCTCTGTAAAATGTGTAAGAACTCATTTGCTGACTGTTTCCCCTGCAAAATCATCATTGTGTCCACTGCACATGGAGTGGGGTGCCTGGTACATCCTAGGTAGTCAGAACATGCCTGGTAAATGAGAAAGTACACACAGCAAATGTCTGGGGTCCTATCCTGGTCCCCTCCTGACCCATCCTCTCTCTCCACCCTCCGCAGTTGGCATACTGTGTGGTGCAGTTCCTGGAAAAGGATGCCACCTTGACAGAGCATGTGAGTACCTCTGTGGGGAAATGCGGGTCTGTATTCCCACAGGCCAGGCCTGACTCCTTTCTGCCTCCACTCCCTCAGGTGATCCGGGGGCTGCTCAAATACTGGCCAAAAACCTGCACCCAGAAGGAGGTATGAAGAAGGGCTTTGATGACCTCCAGAGGGAGGTTGGGGGTGCTTAGCTCTAGGAGGGAAGTCAGGTGTGTGTCAGGGGAGATGGAACTGCTGCCCCTGTGTCCCTGTCCCTCCCCAGGTGATGTTTCTGGGGGAGATGGAAGAGATTCTTGATGTCATTGAGCCTTCCCAGTTTGTGAAGATCCAGGAGCCTCTCTTTAAGCAGGTGGCTCGCTGTGTGTCCAGCCCCCATTTCCAGGTATGGGGCGGGGATGGGTGAGGGTGGGAGCCAGGGTATGGGTTAGGAAGGATGGCCAGTTGACCTAACACAGCTCCCTCTGTCCTCAGTTTCTCTTCTGGACCCTCTGGGTCTGATAATGGAGAGACACTGGACTTAGGGTCAGGAGACTTAGGGTCAAGCCTCAGATCTGCCTCCCACTGGCTCAGGGGCCTTGGGCAAATCACTTCGCCACTCTGAGTCTGATTAAGCTTCTTCATCTGTAACGGGGGCCAACAAAGATCTCTTCACAAGGTGGTGACGGGCACTGAAGAGATCGTAGCGTAACCATGTTTGGTAAACTGATGGGTTGTTATCACTTCTCCCCTTTCCTTAGTGACCTTCAGTTTCATCAGCCCCACTTCAGTCCCAGTTAGGCTTCCCCCCATCATCAGGCTGGCTATAACTGGTTCTCCTGCATAGGTGTGTAGACTTCCTCCCATTCTTACGAGCCATACTGGAGGAAGTCAATTCTTCCTCATAGTGACTGTGGTACTTTCAACAGCTTATTAAACACATCATTTGAGTCTTACAACAGCCCTGGGGAGGTAGCTATTATTAGCCCCATTTTCCAGATGAGAAAATGGAGGCTGAGAGGTTAAATGCCTCACCCAAGGTCATGTGGCCAGTGTGGCAGGAGCTAGGATTTAACTCTGACCACTGGACTCCAAGTCCAATGCTTTCCTCCTCGCCACATTGCTTCCTCCAGTGGCTCACATGAGCCCTGGGGATGGGGTGTGTGGAGGACAGGGTGCCCTGGATTTTGGGATGGGGGTGGACACCAGCTCTTGCACACACAGGGAAGCCACTGGTAGGTATTCACTCTGCCTTCTCATTGCCCCAGGTTGCAGAGCGGGCTCTGTATTTCTGGAACAACGAGTATATCCTGAGCCTCATTGAGGACAACTGCCACACTGTGCTGCCTGCTGTGTTTGGAACCCTCTACCAAGTGTCCAAGGAGCACTGGAATCAGTGAGTGCCCAGGCCCTGACCTAACCCACAGGCACTGGGTCCAGGGCCAGCCAGTCCAGACCTGGGGTTACTCCTAGCAGGAGAGAATCAGGAAAGGCATCTGAAGAGGGCTGAGGGGTGGTGAAAGGAGCAGGTAGAGGGCAGTGCTTGTGGTGTTCAGGGCTGCATGCTGTTTGGGGAACAGGGATAGACAGAGAACTGGAGAGGGAGGTGGTCCTCACTGAAGTTGCTGTCATCTCCTCACCCCCCTTCCTTGACCTGTCAAGAACCATCGTATCTCTGATCTACAACGTGCTCAAGACCTTCATGGAGATGAACGGAAAGCTGTTTGATGAGCTCACAGCCTCCTATAAGCTGGAAAAGCAGCAGTGAGTGTTGGGGGGCTGGGGATGGAGGGAGAGGGGAGAGGAGAAAAGCAGGAAGGAACCAGCTCCTCATAGTTGGAAGGCACCTAAGAGGACGACCTCACATCCCATCTGATCAGATACTTAAAGTCTCTCCCTGTGTTCCTGGCAAGTGCTGGCCCATTCGTGCCCAGCTCCCCACTGCATCCAGTCACCTCCCAAGTGCTTCTTCCAGGTATTAGAGTCCCTTTGCAGATAGGGTGGTGGCGAGAGGCTGGACCGAAGGCAGGGCCCGAGGTAGGGGAGCTGCCTCACCGTCTCTCCCCAGGGAGCAGCAGAAGGCCCGAGAGCGTCAGGAGCTGTGGCAAGGCCTGGAGGAGCTACGGCTACGCCGGTTACAAGGGACCCAGGGGGCCAAAGAGCCCCCGCTCCAGCGCCTTACACCCCAGGTGGCTGCCAGTGGGGGTCAAAGCTAGAGATCCCCCAGAAGGGGAGGAGCTAAACCCAGAGCTATCAGTCCCTCCATCCCCTCTCCTGCCCAGGGGCCCAGAGAGACACACACCTACCCCTGGCCTTGCCAGAGTGCGCTCGGAGTGCTCCCTGCCTGGCCCAGCATGGGCAGCTTTCACTGTGGGGAGAGGAGGAGAGGAGATGGTGGTCCTGGCAACAGAACTCTCAGGCCCTTGTGGCAGGACTTGACCAGGGCAAGCTTGACTGGGAAGCTGCCATCGGGGATCTGCCCCTGCCCCGCAAAGCTGGGCTCCAGACTACAGGCAGGTTCCCACCCCCTGCTCCCGGCCTAGGGCAAGGGGACTCAGCTCCTAGCCTACCCCACCTTGTGCCAGCGCGAGGTCCTTCTTCACCCTACCATGGGATCCATGGTCTATTTATTCTCCCCTGCTCACCCCCAACACACAAGCTGTCCTGGGCCTGGGGCACCCTCCTTCCCTCCCCTCCCTCACCCTGTACTTCCTTGTCCCCTTTTTATTTATTGGGCAGGGGGGTGGGGTGAGGGCACAGGCAGAAGAGATTCCCCATGTCCTGGGGCAAGAGGGGGTCACAGTTACCATGGTCTGTTCCCCCTTCCCCTGGCTGGGGGTAGACTTAATAAAGACAGAAATTCAAGGACTGCTTGCTTTATTAAGGGGTAGGAACACAGAGGGAAGTGAAATGATAAAAAACTGGTTAGGAGGCCAGGCAGAGGCAGGAGAGAGGCAGAAACTTGCCTCTTCTCCAACCCTCTGACCAAGGGAAAGGGGGCGGGGAAAGGATGGACTAGTAGCGGGAGAGGCGACACATGTCACACTGGCAGGCCCTGGCTGTGAAGATCTCCAGCTCCTCCCTCTGGTCCCCCCCACACTGCAGCTGCACCTTCACCTGTGGGGGGGGGGTTTCATGTTTCAGTCCCCTTCCTCAGGCCATTTTAGATTCCCATCCCCCCAACCCCCAATGAGCCACCACAGGGCTGGGCCCCCTCACCTTCCTCAGGCTGGTGATGGTGCAGCACTGAGAGACAGAGGTGACATTGTGTCGATAGCCACTGGCCACCAGCACCGAGTACCGGGAAGGGAAGGCGCTGGATTCGCAGTGGCCCACACAAGCCTGTGCCACATGGGAGCCCTGGCAGGTGCCTTGGTGGTCACTTCTCACGGTCACGTTGAAGGCTAGAAGGAGACAGGCGAGTGGTAGATGGTGCCTCGGCGAAGGCTCCCTCAGTTCCTGTTGCCTGTTCCCTCAGTAGCTGTCCATCAGCTCTTTGCTCCCACCCAGCTCTCTGCTCCCAGGGTTACTCACGGTGCAAGTGGCAGCCTGGGATGGCTGCCTGCCGACCCCAGCCTTCAGTGACCGCCAGGACCAGCAGGCCAAGGAGCAGGGCTTGGGGGGACGCCATGGGCATCTGAAACACAGTGGGTACAGATGTCTCTAGATGGTGTGCAGGTGGGAGGGTGAGTTCTTTAAACACCGCATGCTTCCAGAATGAGCCGGGGCTAGGCTGGCCTAACTGACAGGCGAGCCAGCCTGTGAGCGGGGCTGTCTTTTCCCTGTACCTGCCTTTGGGGCTGTGTGTGTCTGCCTGTGAGTGCCTCTCCGGATGGGTGTGAGTGGAGCAGCTGTCTCTGCATGTGACTTGTATGTCAGCCCACTGCGGTGACCTTCCCCTAGCATTTCTCCTACCATCTGGAGCACAAACATCTGCCTCCCTCCATCTGCCCCATCTCGGCCCGCAGGACCCCATCTGCAGTCCCCAGGCCCTCTGAAGGCTCCTCCTGCCTCAGGGGGCTTACCACTTCCGAGGCCCAGGAGCTGAGTGGCTTGCTGAGCGCTGGTCTCCAGATGGTGCTGGCTCTCCGGATTTTTATATGCCAGCATTTTGGAGCCACGCCCTCGTGGAGATCCGCTTTCAGGCATGCTGCCCTGCCTGCCAGAGGCCTCAGGGATGCCACCTGGGAGATCCAGCTCTTCTCTGAGGTGTGATCCTTGGGGAGCAGATTCTGCTGCTTTCTACTTCCCTCTGTCCAAGAGCTGCCCAATGTCCAGGGCTGGGGGAAGTGAGGGGGGGAGAAAAGCCCAGGGACTGGTGGAGAGGGCAGCTTGTGTGCAGTTGCAGAGAGAGGGTTCAAGACTGGGCTGAGGTGTGGCTACTTAGGTTCTCTTTTCTGTGTGGCCTTGGGCAGGACACTCCTGTTTAGGGCCTCACCACCCCAACCTTAAAACTATTAAATTCAGCCCTGTCTGTCTCCTTCACCCACTGCAGAGGAAAGGGTCGGGGAGGAGATTCTTAAGGACAACGGAAATGACGCCAGTGGCAGTCTCCTGAGATGTGCTTGGTGACAGCGGCCAGAAGAAACGGGGTGGGGTGGGGGGCTCTAAGTCCATTTCAGAGCTTCGCTTTCACTTCTCATCCTGGGGGTCAGCTATAGGGTGGGGCTCCCCCTAGTTCCTGGAACAACTCCGACCTGATTCCTGGAAAAGCCTGAAGCTGTTACCCAGCAAATCCCATCGTTTAGTCCAGAGCTGGCTCTGGTTTTACAGGTGAGACAAGTAAGGCTCAGAGAAGGAATGTTACTAAAGATCCCAGGTTAGTTAATGTCAGGGCTGATTTGGAACCCAAATCTGCTCTCCATGTGTGGTGCTAAATTGCATTTAGCACAAGAAGGTGAAGTTGGAAAAAGACCCCTAGTCAGCAGTAGCCGCAGGGGCTGGGGCAGGGTGGAGATTAGAAGGAAGCCTGTGGTGACTTGGCCCCCACACCCCAGAGCCACGGTCTCACTGAACCTGCTCAGAAAGGCAGAGCCAGCTGCACAGACAGCCAGAGCTGGAAGGCACTTGAGAGCTCCTCAAATCCTACCCCTTCAATTTCCAGATGAGAAAATAAGCACCAGAGAGAAGAGCGACTTTGCCAAGGCTTCACTACACGCTAGTCAGAGTCAGACGGTGCTTAGTTCTCCAGGTTCCGGAGCTGTGCCTTCCAGCAGCTTCATAAAGCCGGCCATGTTGGGGACAGCGTGGCAAAGGCTGTAAACGCACTTGTTTCTAGTCCTCCAGTCCTGACACCCAATGGCTTCCCCTTTTGCCCTCCTTCCCTCAGGTCCTCGCCCTTCCACAGCAACCCACCCCTTCTCTTCTCCCCACCCAAGATAAAGGCAGCAAAACAAGGGGTCTCAGCAGTCCAGTCCCAACTCTCCCACTCATCAGGGGAAGCGTCCAGCGTCTGGCAGATAAATCAGCTGTTTGAAGACTAGAGGTGACAAGGGCTCGTTATCTCACAAGGCGATCCATTCTAATACTAAACATCTCTAAGCTGAAATGAGTTTCTGTCAGTTCCTATCTATTATTTTGATCCTCTGTGGCCATACAAGTTTAATCTGACCTGGATCAGCCCTTGCGTTACATGAAGACAGAGCTCGGGTGCCCTGGTCTTCTCCAGGGGCCCCAACCTGGACTGACTTCTCAGTAATTCGATAAACTTACCTGCATTACTGTCAAAAGCCAGAGGGAGGTGGGTAGGAAGCACAGACCTACTGCCAGGCTGCACTTTGGGGTCAAACTGGGTGAATTGGGGAGAGATGATTTTTTGAGGGTCGGCCGGCTTTGGGACAGTGAGTCTTGTAAGACCTCATTCCCTAACCTTACAGCTTAAAGGGGACTTTAAGGTTTGAGGTCAGGTACAGAACCCGCCCCCAACCCAAAGCAATAACCAGGTAGACCCAGGGGGGTTTTCAGGCATTGCTCCCCTGTATCTTGAGGGAAGAATTTGCTCTCTCATTCTACTTCACTACATCCAGTCAATAACTCTTCATAAAAAATTTATTGTCATTAGGATCCTAAGTGCTGGAGATGAAAGTCCTAAACTGAACCTCAGAGCATTACAATTTTCAGACTAGAGCATTTTAGAAAGTCCCATTCTTTTCTTAGTGTTTTAAATTGAAAAAAAAATTCTATTATAAAGGGGCGAAAGACAGGACAAAATCACAAGAGGGCTCAAGGAGTTTGGGGCCCTCATTCCTCATGACTGGCATGTCATAAGCAGAGGCTAGAGTGGGAGGAGTCACTGTGAGACAACACTCTTCCCACCACTGCTTTTGGAAGGCTCACTGGCTGCTCCTTCTGAATAAATACCGAAACGGGAAGAGAGAGCTGCAGGGAAGAAAGCAGAGCAGGTTGAGATTCTAGAGGTCCCCTTCCCTTCTCCCAGGTCCCATTAGTGCTCCATTAGCTAGGGCATTTTTGCTCTGGGGAACCACCGAATGAAAATTCAAGTCTGGAAGAGCAGTTGAAAAGGTACCCAAATTAGATTATATTCAGGCAGGGGGAGGGGATACAGACAACCGCAATGGGATGGCTGAGCTCTAGATAGATAAAGGGATTTGTTAAGTGTCCTCTGCAAAAAGGACTCTGAAGACACAGCCTAGATTCAGAGGGGAGAATGGAAGCATTTTGGTAACCAATCATCTGAATGGCCCAAGTACAATAAGAATAGTCTATCCAAGCAGCATTTATGGAACCAGGTCCAATGCTGGGCACATTGGGTGGATGGGTTGTGTAAAAATAAACACAGTTTTTGTTAAATTCACAGTTAAGGCCCTTGTGCTCAATCTCATTTCCATCTCTATCTGGGACAAAATAGAGAGTATGCAGGTAATCTGCTTTCTTTTCTAATCTAACTTCCCTGAGAGACTCAATGAGGCAGACTTGAGCTATTTCACCTGGGTCACAGAGAGAAGTCTGTCCTACCTTAGAAAGCCAAAGAAGCCCCTGGTTCCCAGCTCTGTGGGTCCTTTAGGTGGAGGTGGACTGTTCTGCTGCAGTGGAGGGATAACCTGCCCTGCTAGGCTGTCCTCCCACTTAGAATCTGCAAGGAAAACACTCAGGCAGGGAAAGGTGTTAGTCCGTGGGCTACTGTCACGTGAGCACCCAAGGACACCCAAGCATGAGCCAAGGGCAGCCTCACACCAGGGGTTTTTGAAGCCAGGTGAATTGTTTGTTCTGACCTTCCCAGTTTCACCTCAGCTCAGTAAGATGCTATTCTGACCTTGGAATGTTTCAAAATCAGGCCCCGGAGATTTTTGCACTACTCAAGTCCCAGCCACCCACCACGGCTGGTGTCTTCACACGGAATGACGACTTGTTGAAGAGCTCACTCGCCTACACCCCTGCATCTGTGATAGCTGCAGGCCACGCTGAATCCCCACGCTGCTGCGTAAAAGATCGGCAAGTTGGAAGGGCAACACCTCGATGTGCATTTCCAGCCTTTGCCCAGCATCCACGCACTTTCGCTACTAACACTAACGCCCCGAAGGGAAGAGAAGAGACTGCTTCCCAGAGATTGTCCTCCAGCAAGAGAGAAAAGTGAAACACATCCCTCCCAACTTTTCTGTAAAACTATCACTCCACATGGAACTGTTCTGAAACAGTGAGAATATCGGCTCCACTATCAGAAGCTGGGGAAGGGCATGCATTGCCTCCCTTCACTCCTCTTGGGAGCGAGTGGGGGTGGGGGTGGTGTTGCCTTATGGCTAATTTCCATCAACCAGTCCCCACTGTATTCCAACACCTGCTGTACCTTCATACTCCTACACACACAACCCCCAGGATGGTGCAGCTGTGCCATGACCATGAAAATAAGGGCGATAACAGACATGATTCCGCCGGGTCTCAGCGTTCTGAGACACTCTCTCGTGACCTCATTAGGTCAGGGGTTGGTGTGGGGGTGGTGGTCAAGGATGAAGCTGTAAGGTGACAGGGCGGTATGTGGCTTCTAGTACTCAAGGGCAGGCCCCCAGGCCGGAGGATGGCCAACAGGCACCTCCATGGGAGTGAGGCACATCACCCACTGAGTGAGCATGCCCAGGCTCAGAGCTCCGTGCTGCCCTGCTCATCAGAGAACTAACAGCGATAGGGTGGTTACTGAAGGAGAATAAATACGAATTTCCCAGAACCTACCCTGTTCCTGGACATCAGTGATATCAAACGCTGGGGGCTCCTCACATTCCTGCTGGGTTTTTCTTTCCCCGTTCTGTTAAAAAAAAAAGGACCAAGAAAGTTTTAAACTTCACTCCTATACAGCTTGGGGGTCTGAATGCTATTTGCTGGTGAACTTTCACATCAGCGCTGTGGCCTGGCTTCTGACTGCCCAGGCAGGTTCTAGGTTTCCTTATATATGGCTGTCCTTTTCCCATGTCAGCTTCCTAAGCACTGTCCTAACATTGTAAGATTGAAGAGCTGAGAACAAATCAAGCTGGGTTTAATTTACCATTCCATATTACCGAGTGCCAACTACTAATAAGGACAGAATGTTGAGTTTCAGAAGTCAGGAGGACCTTAACTTTACAGTGGAGAAATGTATAATCTGTGTGGTAATGCTGACATATAGACTATTATAAGGCAGTGTATGAGACTACCCCACGAGTCTAGATAGGGTGCTGTGGTGGATGGGGACACGAATAGAGCAGGTGGCGGTTAGTCAAGGAAGACATCACACAGGAGGTACTAACTGAATGGAGCCTTGATGGATACATGGGATTTTGTCATAATGGGGGTGAGGAGATGGTCAGAGAGAGCAAGGCATTCCAGACAGGGACATGATGCACAGAAGTACGGTGCCATCAACAGATAAGTATGATCAGTGTGGCTAGAGCTGGGGCAGTGGAAACATGTTCACTGCATAAGCAGTCAGCACACTGCAACGCAATCTTATGATTTCTCCCTGTGCTATCCCTTTATAGAACTTCCTTTTTACTTTGAAGGGGATATCCTACAACCCGGTTCCAAACCCACATTTCCAGTAGACTCCTTGATAGTCAGAAACATGGTTCAAATATTGTCTCTGGGAATCTCTGCCAACTGGCCACTCCCCTCACCAGGGCAGAAGCTGAGGGCACGACTAACCAGCAGTGCTGGGGAACAACTTGAGCCATTTTGCTGGTGAAAAATTCTATAACAAGGGGCTGAAGACTGTCAAGGGGGGTCTTGGAGGCAAAGGCATGGCAAGCCCCTAGGGAAGGTAGGACATAGCCCCCATCCTAAGCATAAGCTGTTATTTCTGTGATACACTTTTCTACAAACTATCAAATTTTAGACCACATAGACAGCCACCTAAGTCATATTCCTATAAAAGTGACAGGGAATCCTGGGAAGGAAGGAGACCATCTCTTATCTCTTGTAGACAGGGCAGAGGTGGAATTTAGAGTTCTCAGCTCTGACTTCTAACTTGAGAGAATGATTCTTACAAATTTAATGAAACTATGGTTTGGGGCTTAAATCATGCTGCACTGGCCCTAATGAAAGGATCTAGTAAGGCTGGTAGTGGGAACCAGAAGGGCAAAGGCCCTAGGGCAGAGGTAAAGCCTACCTCTGAACCAGGGGAAATTCTCCTCACAAAATAGTTTAGCTTTTGTGCTCTCCTGAAATCTCAAGAGAGGCCTTCTCAGGCAAACGTCATAAGAGAGGAAAAACATAGCCTGAAATATGGCTGAGGGTGCCATCTGGGACATCCAACAGGACAGAATATCCTGAAAACTGGACACAAGATTGTCCTCTGTATGTTCAGGACCAGATCTGTTTAGAAGTGCAGTTCAAGCAGAGGTGGCAAAAACCCCCCACAAAAACCCCAAAGCTATGCGCATGGCAGTCTGTTTTAATTCCGGACCATTCATCTACTCTAACCCAATTTTTATCCTTTCAAAGTCTGGATATAGGTCTGGGACCTGTGGTCACAAAGGGAATTGGTCAGCTCTTCCTTCCCATTCTCCCCAAAACACCTTTAAGGGAACAGAGACCTTATTCAGATATATGCTGTATTCTTCTAAACTTTCCCCACATAGGCTCCCGATATGTTCAGACGTGCATAATCCACACTGACTGTGATTCGACATCCTAAATTCCCCCAAAGGGGAGAGAAAATATTAAGCATTGGACCATAGGAACAAAAACAATTTTTCCAGCTCAAGTGACTTACACTGAGACTCATTGTGATCACTTTAATTTAGGAGAAATCCTCTCTTCTGGGAACAGGGTCTACACTGGAGACCGTCTTTGGGCTTTGAGTCAAAATCAATAAACATGTTCCATTTTTTTTTCCTCAGAGTTTTTTCTAAAACCAGTATCAGGTTGAAAAGGTAATTATGTTGAGCAAGAAACTGTGAGTACTGTTCTTGAGGGAGATGATTTGTCAAACTAAGAATAGGAAGGTACAGAGGGTAGAGAGTGAAGGATATGTTCCTTTAACAGTAATTATCTTAGTTGTATAAAGCGTCTTTGTTCTCACATACTCCTCGTGTACTTTTTCATTTCTTCTTCTTCCCTCTCTAAAGGATGGGAATAGAGAAGAGGGCAGCCAACTGCCTAAAATCACTCTGCAGGCCAGCTGGCTATGGCACAAGGGGGCCCTACAGCCTGCACCTGCCCACACAGGCAGAAGTCTAAGTCCCAAAGGTTCACCCTTCCTCCAACAAAGCGATAAGCTCCTAGAAAGAAGCCAGATTTTACATGTTTGGGTGCACCTTTGCACCTAACACAATGCCTTGTAAACAGGAGACAGAATAATCATTTAGGAATGAAAATCGTTTCACTTTTCTATTTAAAAATGTTTTAGGGAATTTCTGTAATCCTAAAGGCAGCCTTAAGGCCTTTCATGATCCAGCCAATGCTGACTTCTCTGTAACATTTCTCAGCACTATCCTCTAAACTCCAGGTACACTGGTGTGCAGTCACCAAAAGCACTGTACTCGCTCCTCTTGGCCTTAATACTTTGAGCTTCTCTGAGCTACTATAGGAACCCTCCCTCACATCCACCTGGTCTGAGTGAGGTTCTCCTTTGCGGTTCCTTTGTACCTGGTGCTGCCTTTATTCCCACACATAGCACATCTATCAGTAGTGGTCTGCCTAGCTTTATACTGTTGGCGTTTCTAGGAGAGAGCATGATATCCCTAGTACTTGGCACACAGTATAACAGACTCAGTAAAAGTTTATTGGATGGAGGCTTATGTAAATGTTTGCTCGATAGCTGGTCATGTTATGGGTCCTGGGAAGGTGAGGGAGGTGAGTTGTGAATGTTTGGATACTTAAGGTCAGAGCTGCTTCAGAGAGATAGAAGAAAAAAGTATAACAACAGCTATTTCAAGAAAGGAGAAAAAGAAAAGGGCATCATTTTAGAGGTTACTATGGAAAAGAAGCCCTGAAATAGAGGAGTAGCAGATATATGAATATCTCAATGGGGAATAGACCTTACAAATGAAATCAAGTATTATTGGGGTCAGCCCATCACTGCTCTAAATGAAGTTTTCTTGCCGGTATCCTGAGCTGATACATGCATAGCTAGTCTGTAAAAACTAGATGTTCCTAGACTCAGACCCCAATGTAGATGAAGTCAAAAAGGTTTTTAAAGAAAAAATTCTACATTGGATCCCCCCTCAATTCAACAGACCCATTTTCTTATCTCAACTGCAGAGTACAAGCAGCAGCTTTTTAAGCCGAGAAGACCTTTTAACAAAAGGATTCATCGATGTGTGTAGTATTATGCAGCCACTTTGGGGACAGGTTGTAGCAAGGGTGGAATGGTTGAATGTTGTTCTGCAGATGGTGAAACCTGAGAATGAGTTCAGTCAGTTAAGTCTGTACTTAGGACCAAGGTGTGCTGGTAACAGGAATCCTGACTTGTAACAGCTTGAACGGCCAAGAGCCTCCATTTTGGTGCTTACCCTCGCAGTTTCCATAGGGGGCTTCTTTTTGCTGGGGCTTTGGCTGAAAGTCCCCATCTTGGCCCTGTGGTGGGGGAAAAAAGCCCAGGAAATGTTACTGGCAGTAGCAACATCACCACATTCAAGCAAATGGGGCTTAAATGAATATTTCAGCAGGTCGGCTATTTTTATACCACTCCTGGCCTGCAGAATAAATTGTGTGGCCAAATTCTCTTTGGGTGCTGCTTTAATTCACAGTAGAATCCCAATTGGAGACATTTAGGGATCTAGGGGTTGAGAAAGGGAAAATGTGATTGACAGCAGGTCTCAGATTTTGAAATACTTGATCGTGCATCAAAACCCAGAGAAAGGGGAGATATGAAGCTTCATCTCCATGGAAAACTCGGTCAAGTGGAACCGAGCAAAACTTCACACCTCCAAGTACCCTCATACCGACCCTGGATTGAAAAGGGGTTTCCTAGCTTTTTGCCAACATGTGCATTTGGAGGGTGGAGGGGTCACCTCCCTCGTGGTCTACCCTCACTGCTCCTGTATGCCTCGAGGCCCACACAGTCCCAGGAAAAGAATAGCTACTCTCTGGGAACCTGAACTGAAAGCACTTTGGGCTGGGGAGCAAATAAACCACACCTTGGATTATTCCAGCAGTCCTCTCTGGGTGCTAATAAGGACTGAATTGCCTTACTGACTCATTCTGTCCCTGACAGATAGTCAAAAGCAGAAAATAAGTAGCCTCTGCAATAGCAACTTCAACATGTTAGGGATGTGATCAACATTCCCCTAATATTGCCATACCTCACCCAATAACTGATACATACTCTCTCATAGACATTTATATTTTAGACTGGACTACCTTTTAAGGTAGAGTTCTAAAAGCTTACTGCTCACTAGGTGAAATAGAATTACACTTCATTTGTTCTTACTCTCTTGAGGGTTTCTCTATGTTCTTGTATAATATTCTGGGACTTCTTCAGTCTTGTGCCTTCTGACTGTGTTTTCTGGTAGTACAACCATTAGGAAGTACTCATTGAATATGTATTAGATGCAATTGTACAGATCTGATTACATTTCCTCTCAGCTTTAGTCTTGATGAACAGAAGAATCCTGCTTTACTGAGGAAGGGACTGTTCAAATTACATTGCAAATATCAACTTGCTTCCTTCCTTTAGTCCACCCACTGGAATAAGCAGGTACCAATGAAGCCCTGGGAGAGGAAGTGACTTGCCCAAAGACAAGATCAACCAGCAGCAATGGCTGGCAAAGCCTAATTAGGATGCAGGATTTACACTCTCTCCCAACACCACTGACCTGTCCAGCTCCAACCTGCTGGGGCAGTTGGGCACTTCCGTATGTTTTCGTTTCCTCATCATGGCTTCTGCAGCTTTCCTCTTAGCTAGGACCTTCAGAGAGGAATGAGATGCCTGTGACTCCCCCTTTTCCAGAGTAGCTCACAGTGAACCCTCCATCTTTAAGTTGCCAAAGGCAACTTTACCAGCTTTGCACATAAGGGTAGACATTCTGTTAAAGATAGTCTCAGAAATCTAGCCAAGGGGAGAAAGATGGTCTCATGTATACAATTCTGATTGGACCTGGGCAGCAACCAAGGGACAAAGTAAAAGGAAGACACTAGAGCAGGACTTTTGGACAACATGAAGTAAAAAAGGCAATTTTCATTTTATATAGAAAAGACAAACTTACCAACCCAAGAGGACTGTTGCTTGTTGGTTTCCCTACGATAGGAAATTTAAATGTCATAATGAATCAAGACTGTTTCACCTGGATTTCTGGCTACCATTTACTTCTCAGAACTAGTCCTAGACAAAACCTCCATGTATGTCCTTCTACCTTCTACCTAGTACCACTTTCCTTAGAACTAGAGTCTTCCACCCCTATTTTAGAACTATTGTCATCTACAAGCTGAAAATTCAGGGTTTGATTCACATTATATTCTAACAATATGCCACTTAAAAGGGGGTCCCTACTATGAAACAAAAAAGGTGGAACTTCAGGCATCAGCAGTTAATTGGGGAGATACTGTAAGGCAAGGCCTTTGCACCCTTTTTCAAATCAAACTGAGGCATCTACTTGTCCCTCTATGGGTAAAAATAGTGATGGCCCTTAGAGATTAAATATTGGGAGACATCACTTTAAGATACCACTAAGGTGAAAGTCACTGAACACTCTAAAATGGAAGAAGTATTTATATACTAGGTCTCTTTCACTCAGTGATTACTCTAAGTCAGACTTTGTACTGCCCATATACCAGTATTAGTATCTTTAATCCTTTTAACAACTCAACAAGATAGGTACTATTATTCTTCACCATTTCACAAAGGTGGTACAGAAAGATTAAGAAATTTATCTCAGGTCACACAGCTATTAAGTGGCAAAGCTACCAGGATTTGAACCAGGCAATCTGACTTGGAACACTTGCTCCTGACTTCTACACTGTGTGGTATTGGGGGCCAGTCTGGCTGACCATTTTGCCACATTCAGCTTGTACTGCTAACCCATGGACATTCAACCTTCCCCTTTCTCTTCACCACCACCCACACTTCCATCAATCTGCTTACCAGGTGACAGTTGTTCATGAAACCATTTCATCTCCACATATAGAGTAAAAACAAATGGATAGGGGACCAAGACAATTTCCCCATGTTTGAATTTCAGGTGGGATACTCTCTCCCATTTGCTTTTATCTGGAACATGGAGCTAAGGAGTGAGAAAAGAAGTCAGTATGAATCCCTGATACTATTTTAGGAATAAGACTTTTTCGCCTTTCCCTGACCTACCCTCCAAACTGCCTATGGATTTGCTGCTTCCATTTGAATCTACAATGTGAGTTGTAGTTTATTCCTATCCAGAAATGAAGGATACAAGGAAATACAATAAAGTGTTTTGTAGTAAATGGCTGCAGATTGTCCAAGTTTCCCAAGATCACACGAATAGAATCCTGAAAAAAAATATTTGAAATGACTTTAATCGTGTCTGGTCTCAGCCAATCTTTCCATTTATACTTGTCACTGCTCTTCACATATCCCATATGTTATTAAAGCTGAACTACTTGCTGTTCCCTGAATATGCCTTCTGCTTCTCCATTTCTATGCTTTTGTATAGTCTGTTCCCTCTGCCTGAAATGCCCGTTCTACTCATCAGCATATGTGCAAATCCTATCTATCCTTTAATGTACAGTTCAAAAGCCATTTCCTCCAGAAATTTTCCCCTGATTCTCCAGTTGTAATTAATTGTTAGTCTCAGACTTCATAGTAGTTAGCCTTGGGCCTTTACTATATTTCATGTACATGTTTTATTTTCCTTACATAGAAATCTCCTTAAGGTAGAACATATACCTGATTTATTTTAGCATCCCTTCCATGATGCCTACCATAGTGGATGATGCATAACAGGTCTCCAATAAACATTTATTAAATGAATGAGAATACTGGTATTTACTGATAGTTATTTTGCCTTTGCTTAAGTCAAACCTTTTCTTCTACTCTTTTTATACATCTTAGTTGGTTAATCTCTAATTAACTTATGCTTATTAGTGTACACTAATTAAACAATTTGGTATCATAAAAAGACTACTGGATTTCTATGGGAAAAATTTGAATTTCATTCCTAGCTTTGTCATTTCATCTTTCTAAATCTCATTTTCCTCATATTTGGACTCACAGAAGGCAGGAACTATGAGGTCTGACTATTAAGTTCGCGAACTCATCCTAGAAAAAGTGCTACATACCTCATTGCTGAATATCACTAGGGTCACTTTCGAAGTATTACCCTTGGGAAGCTATGCACTGATGCCAGCGCCTAGTCCACCCTTCAAAGCAATTTTGGAACTCTTTCTCTGTAATGGTTATCAGAGCTGTTGTTGTATTACCCTTGATGTCCTGAATGTCATCAAAATGTCTTCCTTTCAAAATTTCCTTTATCTTTAGGTAAAGAAAAAAGTCACTGGGGGTCAGATCAGGGGAGTAGAGGGGGTGTTCCAATACAGTTATTTGTTTACTGGCTCAAAACTCCCTCACAGACAGTGCCATGTGAGCTGGTGCATTGTTGTCATGCAAGGGCCATGTATTGTTGGTGAAAAGTTCAGGCTATCTAACTTTTTTACACAGCCTTTTCAGCACTTCCAAATAGTAAACTTGGTTAACTGTTTGGTACAAATTCATAATGAATAATCCCTCTGATATCAAAAAGGTTAGCAACATCATTGCAACAAGTTCATGAACTTAATTGTCAGACCTTGTATGTCTTGTTTATCTTTGTATTCTTTTTACTAGCACAGTATCTAGCTTATGATTTTAATAGCTAATATTTATTGAGTAATCACTATGGCAAGTATTATTTTGATACATATTAATTTAACACTCACAAAATACCTATGAAGTAGACATTTCTATTATCCCCATTTTACAGATGAGGAAAGTGAGACAAAGAGAGGTGAAGTCACTTATTCAAGGTTACATAGCTAATAATGGTGGAGTCAAGATATGAACCCAGGCAATGGGGTTCCAGAGGTTACACCCTTAACATTTAGGCTATATTACCTATAAATAAATGTTTCTAAACGACTAAAAGAGGATGATAACACCTGCCTTAAAACTAATGAGAGCAGGAGAAAGAGGACATCTAAAAAGTACTTTGAAAACTTTAATGATTATAAATACATATAAATGCTCTCTAGCTACCATTTATTGAGCTACTATATGGCAGGCATTGAACACATCTATTTCTAATCCTCACCACAATCCTGAAAACAGGCATTATTTATCAACCTCATGGACAGGTAATAAAACAGACTCTGAGAAGGTAGGTTTCTTGGCCAAATTCATACTGTGAAGGCCAAACTGGAATTCAAACCCAGTTTTGGCTGCCTCTAAAGTCTATGCACTCTCCACTTTACTATGCTGCCTTGTGCTTTTCTCTGCCCAAATTAACTGAAGCAAAGTGAAATAAATTCTGTTCTACTCAATTAAAATAAACAGAAAACTGTCATGATCCTATATTTCTATTTATAATGATGTCTTTCGGGTCCCGCAAGATCCTAACATATCTTTCAACACTTAGCCAAAGATTCACAGGTACATTTAGGGCTATGATTCAAATTTTTGGTTTCATAGAGTTTTGTGTTTATGTATTTAATTGTATTTGAATTCTTTGAAATGTGGCAGCATATGTCTTCATAAATCACAATACTCATAAATCACTGAGTTGTGAAGTCAGAAGACAATAAACTAGTTTAAAACTCTCATTTTACAAATGAGGCATTTAAGACCCAGAGTTACACACAGCTAATTAGTGGCTCAGCCAGGATTGGAATCCAGGGCTAGTCCCCAGAACTCTAACCCCTTGCCCAGTGCTTTTACCAATTTACAAAAATGTCCACCTGCTCAGTCTTCTTTCTGTGGGAAAACCTAAAGCTAGAGGAGCTGGATAGAAAAGGAATGAAAATGAAGTGGAAATAAAGCAATTGCAAATGTTTCCAATTAAAATGAAGACACAGCAGCCTTGTCTGTGTATTTACAGTTGAGTTTCCTGAACGTCAAGTACCAGGCAGTGGTTGGGATGATGATGTTTCCCAGAGCCCTGGAAGGCAGCAGTCCTCCCAGTCCTCCGGAAGCTTTCTCTATGCCAGCCGCCACAAGAGAGAGCTGCCCAGGGCTGGGAACTCTGGTAGAAACAAAATAACTCAGCCTCAAAGGTGCTGACACTTCAACTAGGAAAATTGAGAAAGAATACAGGCTTTAACTTCCCTGGAAAAACAGTAAAGTTTCTCTGCAGAGGAAATATGTCAGGGAGAAGCCAAGTAATCAAGTGGAGGCTGTGACTCAGGTGGCAAGAAATAATTAAAATCTGGATACGGGTGCATCCTTGGTTTAAAGGATCACTTTCCCAAAAGTTGTTAGCTTCTTTCCCTACCTCCAGCTCCTGGAAGATGACTTCCTTATTTTCAATATCTTCTCCTCTAGAAGGTAAATAGACAAGAGATAAGCCAAGAAGGAAAGCTCTGAGGAAAGTAGACTCTACAGTAGACAGTAGAGCAAAAATGACACTTCCACTGAGCTAAAGAAACATGACTAAATAACAATTATGTGTGCTGGCTGACACAGTGATCATAGGAGGAAGTGATCACCTAGGTGGTGTGGTCTGAGAATTGGTTCAAGGTTGTATACCAAAATACCTTCTCTACTCACTTGCCAAGACCTGAAATTCCCACTGTGAAAGTTAATAATTTGTTAGACCATTTGTACTCAAGTGTAGTCTGATGACCCCTAGAGGTCCCCACGACGCTTTCAAGGGCAAAACTATTGTCATAATAGAATACTAAAATACTATTTGCCTTTTTTACTGTGTTAACATTTGTAATTGTTAGTGCAAAAACAATGGTGGGCAAAATTGCTTGTGTCTTAGCACAAATCTAGCCAGTTGCGCTAAACCATACTAGCAGCTGAATAATCTTTACTGCCTCACAGAGGGGGAAAATCCAGTTTCATTTAGTATCCTTGAGGAAGCAGTAAAAAAAATAATAATAACTTGATAAAATTTCAACCCTTGAATGTATGTCTTTTTAATGTATTATGTGATAAAATGGGAAGTATGCATAAAGCACTTGTGCTGCTTACCAAAATATGATGGTTGTCTCTAGGAAAAAGATGTGTGCCACTGTTTAAGTTGCAAACTGAACTAGCTACTCTTTTCACGGAACAGTATTTTACTTGAATGATCAGCTGACACACAAACTATGGTTGTCATTCAGAGTTTGTAATGTGACATTTTCTCGAGAGTGAACAGTGAGCTTATCAATTCAAGTATTTGCTGTCAATTGACAATGACTAATAGTATTTGTTGTCAATAATAAATTTTGGGATTTTAAGCAAAATTTTGCATTTTGGAAAACTTCTGTCCACCACGGCTGACAGGTTCCAAATAACTTAAATACTTTTCTGATAAGACTGGTAGCGATATTAGCAAATATGCTTTTTTTAATATTGTTCTGGCATACCTTGTTTTATTGTGTTTTGCTTTATTGTGCTTCACGGATGTTGCCTTTTTTACAAATTAAAGCCAAAACTCTCCACCAGCAAAAAGATCGCAACTTGCTTTATTGTGAGACTCACTTTATTGTAATAGTCTGGAACTGAACCCGCAATATCTGAGGTATGCCTGTATAATGAAATGAGTCGACATTTGGACGATCTGCATGTCAGTGAACCAGTATTTTTCCAAACGACCAATGAAATGCATCATGTTACAAAACCATCCTAGGTAAAATTCATTCAAAGAAAAAGTTAAACTAATGGATTTTAATGTAGCAGAGTTTGAAAGTTCACCGATAAAATTTCAGATTCCACATTGCAGCTAACCTTTAAAAAACTACCACTTAATAAAAAACCCCAAACAACTACTACTTGTCAAATTTTGATGTAGGGTCAAAGAATATCCACAATGATCTGAGAAGGCTATTAATATATATTTCTACCTCTCCCAACTACAAATTTATGTGGGGCTAGATTTTTTCACTATAGCTCAACCAAAAAAATTCACAACAGGCTGAATGCAGAAGCAGATATAATAATCTAGCAGTCTTCTATTAAACCAGACATTAATGAGATTTGCAGAAATTGAAACAATCTCATTTTTTCTTTTGGAAAATATAGCTGTTTTTAATAAAAATGTGTTAACACTTAATGGATATTTTAAAATTAATACATTTTAAAATTGTGGTAAAATATAACCTAAAGTTTGCCATTTTAACCATTTTTAAGTATACGATTCAGTAGTATTAATTATATTCACAACCATGGTGTGCAACCATCACCACTTTCTTTTTCCAAAGCTTATTTCCCCAAACAGAAACCCTATACTCATTAAGCAGTAACTCCCCATTCTCCCCTCCACCCAGCTCCTACTTTCTGTCCTATGAGTTTTCCTATTCTAATATTTCATATAAGTGGAATCATACAATATTTGTCTGTTACTCATTTATTTCCTTAGCATAATGTTTTCAAAGTTCATCCATGTTGTACACGTATCAGAACTTCATTCCTTTTGCAACTTTTTACAGCTGAATAATATTCCATTGTATATATGGAGATACCACACATATAACCACATTTTATTTATCAATTCACCTACTGATGCACACTTGGGTTGTTTCCACCTCCTGGATATTGTGAATAATGCTGTTATGAACATTGCTGTACAGGCATCTGTTTGAGTTCCTGTTTTCAATTCTTCTGGGCATATATCTAGGAGTGAAATTGCTGGGTCATGTGGTAATTCTATACTTATCTTTTTGAGGAACTGCCCAATTGTTTTCCATAGTGGCTGCACCATGTTATATTCATTTGCACCAGCAATGTAAGAGGGTTATAATTTCACCACATCCTTGCCAACAACTGTCATTTTCCATTAAAAAAAAAATTGTAGCCATCCTAAGAGGTGTGAAATGCTATCTCATTGTGGTTTTGATTTGCATTTCCCTTGTGACTAATGATATTGAGTATCTTTTCATGTGCTTACTGACCACATGTATATATCTTCTTTGGAGAAATGTCTATTAAAGTACTTTGTCCACTTTTTAAAACTGGGTTGTTTATGTTTTTATTGTTGAGTTGTACTTCATATAGTCTGGATATTAAATTCTTATCAGATATATGATTTGCAAATATCTTCTCACATCTGTGGGTTGCCTTTTCACTCTGTTGATAGTGTCCTCTTGAGCAAAATTTAATAATTTTTAATAAATCCAATTTCTCTAATTTTTGTTGCTTGTGCTGTGGTGTTATATTTAATAAACCATTGTCAAATCCAAAGTCATGAAGATTTGCCCCTATGTTTTCTTCTAAGAGTTTTATAGTTTTAGCTCTTAAATTTAGGTCTTTGATCCATTTTTAGTTAATGTTTGTATATTGTGTAAAGTAAGGCTTTAACTTTATTCTTCTGCATGTGGATATCAAGTGTTCTCAGACTATTTGTTAAAGAAACTGTTCTTTCCCCTATTGAATGGTCTTTGCATTCTAATTAAAAATAAATTGACCATAGATGTGAGGGTTTATTTCTGGGCTCTCAATTCTATTCTATTGGCCTATATGTTTGTCCTTATGCCAGTACCACATTTTTTTTTTTTACAGTGAAAAACTTTTATATTTAGAATTAGCCAGCTGGACTCAGTTTAGATGATCCCAAATTTGTTGACAACATCCAAAGCATCATAGTCAGGAGGCAGGAAAACATATGCCTTCTTCTCTCCATCAGGCCTGATCAGGTTGTTGACCTGGGCCACGTCAACGTCACAGAGCTTCTTCACAGCCTGTTTGATCTGGAGCTTGTTGGCCTTGACATCCACATTAAATACAACTGTACTATTGTCTTCTACCTTCTTTATGGCTGACTCAGTAGTCAGGGGGTACTGGATAATGGCATAATGGTCAAGCTTGTTTCTCCTGGGGGGCGCTCTTCTGAGGATGTCTGGGCTGCCTTCAGAGCCACAGTGTCGTGGGAGGTCAGAAGATGGGTGACATGCGTATCTTTGTGTGTGTGTGTGTGTGTGTGTGTGTGTGTGTGTGGCTGTGAACGCCTTTCAGCACTGCTTTGCCTTCAAAGCCTTTGCTTTGGCTTGAACTTAGGAGGGGTAGGGGTTTCCTTCTTCACTTTCACTGCCATCTTCGTGAAAACACCACACTTTTTTATTACTTGTAGCTTTGCAGTAAATTTTTTAATTGGGAAGTGTGAGTCTTCCAACTTTGTTTTTTTTCACAATTGTTTTAGCTATTTGGGGTCCCTTGAAATTCTGTATGAATTTTAGGATGGGATTGTCCATTTCTGAAAAAGGCCAGTGGGATTTTGATAGGGATTGCACTGAATCTATAGATTGCTTTGAGTACTTAACAATATTAAGTCCTCCAATCCATGAACACGGGATGTCTTTCTATTTATTTGTGTTTTCCTTAATCTATTTCAGAAATTTTTTGTAGTTTTCAGTGTGCAAGTCTTACACCTCCTTTGTTAAATTTATTGCTAAGTATATTTTTCTTTTTTAATGCTACTGGAAATACAATTGTTTTAATTTTCTTTTCAGATTGTTTGTTGCTAGTGTATTCAAATACAACTGACTTTTGCATGTTGATTTTGTATCCTGCAACTTTGCTGAATTCATGGATCAGATGTAACAGTTTTTTGGTGTGGATTCTTTAGGGTTTTCTACATATAAGATCATGTTATCTGCAAATATAGTTTCACTTCTTCCTTTCTAATTTGTATGCCATTTTATTTCCTTTTTTGACTAAAACTCCATTACTGTGTTGACCAGAAATGGTTAACGTGGGCATCCTTGTCCTGTTTCTAGTCTTAAGGGAAAACCTTTAAGTTTTTCACCATTTGAGTATGATGTTGGCTGTGGGTTTTTTATAGATAGCCTTTATTGTGTTGAGGAAATTCCCTTCTATCCCTACTTTATTTAGTATTTTTATCATGAAAGGGTGCTGGATTTGGGCAAATGCTTTTTCTGCATCAATTGAGATGATCATGTGATTTTTTTTCCAACCTTCTTTCTATTAATGTGGTGTATTACTGTGATTATCTTTTGTATGTCGAACCATCCTTGCATTCTGGAGTAAATTCCAGGAATGTAAACCATGCTAATCTTCTGTTTACATTTAATGATATGTCATTTTAAATTAATAAGTATGTTATTTTAATTTCTGTATAAATATTGACAGGTATAACCCACGTAATAAAAAACTTAGGATACGCAATAATTTTAAGAGTGCAAAGGGATCGTGAGATAACAAATTTTGAGAGTCATTGCCCCAAAGGTATGCCATCACTAATTAAGAAACTTATGTGAATAATAATATATGGAATATAAAATACCAGGGAAAGGAAGTCCTATAAGGTGCTACTTCAGCCAGTCTCATGAGGCTGAGGCAGAGAAGGGATGACTGTGGGAATGCAGTAACCTGTGTTTGCAAAGGCTACCCCTCTTAGCTTTAAAATTACCTGATGCTGTTGCCATATCTGATTTTGAATTTATACACATTGGATCCTGCATGAAAAAACCTCGTCTCTGGAAATGGGTAGGTGAAGGATTTTAAACTCATTGCTCCCAAAGACAGCCTATATAAAGTAGAAATATTACAGAATTATTAAAAAGTTAAAGATGGGGCCAGCCAAGTGGCGTGTTGGTTAAGAGCTGGCTTGGGATGCNACCTGGAGCTGGGCTGCCGTGAGTCGCCGGTGACAGCGTAGGCTGCAGCCCCTGCTGCAGTGGGTTGCCATGGGCTACTATGTGTAGCCAGGAGCCAGCGTGAGCGTCCAGCAGCCGCTGTGAGCGGCCGTCCAGAAGCCAGCGACTGATCTGCCTCGCCCGGGAAGAGCGCAATGACGGTGCCAAGTTGGGCCAGTGAAGCAACTTCCTCCACAACTAGACTGAAGAACAAAAGGATAGAAACTTGTCTGTTCCCCTTCCTCCAATTCCCCAATAAAAATCTTAAAAAAAAAAAAGTTAAAGATGGCTCCTTAGGTATGGGAAAGAGAGCCTGCCCAATCTGTAGCATCTCTTCATGAGTAAAATGTCCAACACTCAGTACCACTGCCTATGTTTCAGGCTCAGTTTTGATATTAATCACCTCGACCATTCTTCTACCTGCATGGGGAGGATATATGCTATTTTGGAATGATCCCTATACTTGAAAAGACCTGAATGAGTACTGTCATTTACCTTACAACCTTGTGCAAATCACTTCTATTCCATGAAGCTAATGATACTAACATCTGATTAATCACAGGGTTTTTGTTAGGATTAAATATCTCTCTGGATATCTCTTGAATCTATTCTCTTCTCTTGTCCCCACTTTTCCTATAAACTAGACCAATGTGAACAGGGCTCAAGTCAAATAATGAAACAATCCAAAGGATACACCAATAAGTGGCACAGTTAGGAAGACCTTTGCTATTAATTTTAGATGAAGTTAAGGATGAACACACCTCCTTGCCACAGTCAATGCAGCAAATAATTATGTACACTAATGTTTCCCAATAGTGCCGAGCAATGCCATATCTTCCCGACCTCTCAATCACTCATCTTCACTACTTGTGAAGACTGCCCTGTGCCACAAAAGTGCCAACTATCCTCCTAGCATTTACTAGTTTTAGTTTTCCTATTCCAGAATCTCTTTCCACATAAGTTCCTCTCTGCGGGAAACTCAAGAAAGGGGAGAGATGGAAAAACAAGAATGGCATGTCTCTTCTTCTTCAATAGGGCATTTTGTATGTGCTCAGAGATAAGAATCAAGCACACTGTGATTTTCTAAGTCACTACAATTTTTCTGTGCCTCTTTTTCTTTGTAGAGATACTAAACCCTACACTTTCTGTCCATATGAAGATATGGAAGCTTAAATAATAAATAATGAGAGTAAGAGGTCCATACTTCCTGAGTATCAAAGCTACCTTTATACAATGCAAGGTATTGATTTCAGAGGCAGCTGAGGTGAGAAAGACAGAACAGGCACAAAGTAAGAACAATTTAGGTTTGAATCTCAGCTCCAAAGTTCCTACTTAATTTCTCTATTTATACAGTAATAACAACTAACATTTTTTTTCATGCCCTATTATCTCAATCCTCACAACAAGCCTATGAGATTAGTCTAAATTTGATAGATGAGGAAACTGAGGCACTGACAAACGAAATAACCTTCCCATAGCTTTGAATATTGAAAACATTATTTGATCAAATATTGAAAAAATATTTGATAAATCCAGACTTAATGCTCTTAACCACTTTTCCACTCTGCTTCCTGGGGTTATTAGGAGGAAAAAAACAAAATAATGAATATAAAATCACTTTGTAAGTACCAAAATATCATATACACATAAGGACTATTTTCATTATTCTTTTTTCTATTACCCCGATACCATTTCTACTCAGCAGGGTAAACTCTTATATGGTGGAGTCAGAGATCTACGTGCCCAAAAATGAAATTTCCCACAATTTCCAAAGTTCATGCCTGGGGCTGCCAGTAAAGAGATATCCCAGTGTCTGATCTCAGCTGCTTGGGATTAGAATGACAGGAGGTTGGAGCCAGAGCCCAGGAGACTATTTAGGCTAGAACTGCATAAAAAGTGAAAAGAAACAGTTGGTGCCAACTGCAAAGTTACCAGAGGGGAAGTACTGTTCATATCCTGAGAAAAATCTTGCCGATTCCCCATGCCCAAGGCATACCAGGAACTCAGTCTAGATTTGATGGTGTTTTGGGTGCTAGATGACTTTTCTAAGTAGACAAGGAGTCCACCTGGTGAGACTTAGGTTGCTGCCACAAAAATTTAGCTCTCAATTATTCAGAGGGCTCTTCTAAAATGCAGTCATCTCTCCCCATAGACTGAGGGCTGGGGACATCGTAGCAAAGGAAATTAAGGACATGTGCTGGAAATGACAATCCAGAGAGGAAACTTCATGTGCTGTGCTACATCTGGCTTTCTGAAAGAAGTCAAAACAGCCCTCTTCTAGCTAGGGCCTGTTCCTGTTAATTGTTGGCTGCCAGCTTCAGAAACAAACACCACACACTAATTACCTCATTTGAAAATAAAGATTAGACAGAATAATCCAAAGCAACCACACAGTAGTAGTGGTTCAAAGATTTCACAAGGTTATTTTCCAATATGAGTACTGCAGTCATTGTGACACTAAGCATCATATGTCCCTATAACTATTACTAAGTTGATGGGATATTGCAGATGAAGGGTCAGACTCTCAACCCATTTTTAGGCAATCACAAAACATGATGGCTTTAAAACAAAAGAAAAAAAGTTATAGGCCATATGGGATAGTGGGAAAGACAAAAGATTTGGAATTAGAAGACCAAGGCTTGAGTCCTAGCTCTGTCTCTTATTAGTCATTAGACCATGAACAGGTCACTTAGCCTCTTCATTTCTGTTTCTATATCTATGAATGGAGATCCCACCTACCCCTGGAATTGTTGTGAGCATTAACAGATAATGCTATAAACAGCACTTCATAAACTCTACAGTGTTTTATAAACATCAGCTGTTTTGATAGATTTGAAGGGTTTCTCTCTTAATGCTTTGCTAGAAAAGCAAATTCAAGAGAGGAAAACTGATAGCTTTAATATTCGTGCACAATCTGACAAATCCCAATCAATAATCTTTCCTTGAAAATCCTGAGTAATTAAGACTTAAATGACACATTAGCACTGATGTTAGAAAGATTTTTCAAGGCTTTAGTAATTTGTTTCACATAAAGAAACATCTGGGTCAGTGCACAGAACCTGAAGCAGGGCTGAATGCTACATGAGGATAATGACATTGACTACTGAAGTCGAAGGAGATGATAATAAGGACCCACTGTCACTAAATACATCTGGTGATAGTTGATGGGGAAATCCCCCCCAGTGTTAAAGAATAAAAGAGTTTCCATAAGCATTTACTCAAAATATTTACTTATAAGAACATGACAGGCTCTGTGACCAGTAACGAATGTGGGCAACAAAATAGGGAAATCCCACTGATGCTATGAATCCAACATCCAAGTTTTAGAAATGAAATTAAGGACAGATGACCAGCTCCTCCTTCTACCTTGAAAAGTCCTTGGCTGGTCTCAGAGGTTTACCTGCCTTTGCTGAAGCAGATTCAGATTCTGAAAGTCTGTATTTCCAACTAGAGATCTGTGGTTGCCTATAGCTAGAAGTATCCTTTGTTTCAGGGGGGACAAGAGAGAAGTGACCTCACCAAAGAAGAAAGTAACTTCCACAAGGTCACATAACTCAGTATGGAACCAGGTTTAGACACCCAAAGATTATTGATTCCTTTGGCCCATACATTTTATATTATAATACATCACCCAGTTTTATTAAACTGTAACAGAAATCAAAAGGTCACTCTCATGACTCTGGATGACTCAAGGCAAACTCAGGCATCAAACCAAAACAAAGGCATCAAACCAAAATGTGAGATTTTCCGATTAAAGGTTCTTAGAATTATATCTTGGAGTCTAAAGGGTTATATTCATATTTGTCTTCAAGCTCTATTTTCAAAAGAACTATTCTCAAGTTTCCTCACCTTGCAGGGTGATTAGGATGGTTAATGAAATAATGCACGTATAATTGCTTATTGTAGGGCTCTAAATGTAGGTTACTCAATAAAGAACAGCCTTTCTAAAAACAAAGTGTTAAAATACGGGCCAGGAAGAGGCTAGTCTAAGACTACATGCTTATTGATGTAATTCTCTTTCTCATTAGGTTTCTTCCTACTCTTTCTGGTAAGACACAATCTTTAAAATGTCACTGGCATTTGTTCAGGAATAGATCTGCCCTTGGAACTGTGTCAGATTTTGTTTTCTTTTGTTTGGGAGGAGAAGAGTAACTAAACCTCCTCACAGAGAGGTAGGAAGATGCTCTAAAATGAAATCAAAAGACCTTAGTAGACAACTCCACAGACCCAGAAAGGTGTTTAAGTCAACCTCTTAAGTTACTCTTTGCATCGAAGTGACTCTTCCACTTCCATCTTAACCATCCTAAAAGCTAATGGAGAAACTACCTTTTGTTATAGGTCCAGGACTGTGCTCCTTACTATGGAAAAGTAATAACAGTCTCCTCTCACCATCCTGCCCAGTAGTTGTGGCTTGTTACATGATGAACTTATTAGCATTCACATTACATTGAATTCACTGCAGCACTCTAAAAATCCCACCAAGCCCAGGAATCCAAAAAGCACTTGGATATAAAACTGTAAACAATGAGGGACATTTTATTTTTTTGGTTACACCATTGGGTGAATTGCCCTGAAGCAGTACATGTAAGGAAGAAAATTTTAAAAACCAAAAAACATCAGTAGTTTCAGAAGGGCAAATGGTGGAAGAATATCCTTAGCTAGAGAAAAAGAAACATCTTTTACAATTTTGAACTATAAACTCTGAGTCCTTGATGTACATATCTCAAGGGTCTTAGTGATAGAAGACAGAAATAGGATAGGATAAAGTGTGAAAAGAAGGCTTCTAAAATATACAGCTTTATTCTTGGCATGAAACAATGGCAGATTCTGAAGAAATTAAGTTAATAAGAAAACTAAAGTACTTTATATATATAAGGAGAGCAAATTTCATACAGGAAATTTGAAATATTTTACTAACTTTAATCCAGTTCTGATAAGATATTGGGTAGAAAAGAATTATAATCATGAAGTTTACAAAAAGATATACCTGACTCAAGGAGATCATCTAATTTGGCCAAGGTCACACATCAAGGGCAAGACTAAAAAATAAAAACTCAGATGTATTGCTAAAGCAAGAAAGTCCAGCTGAATAAAGGATGTCAAGAACGTAGTTACCTTATAAACTGGCCTAGACTCAATATTAGCCTCAATTATTTTTATTTTACCACCTAAGCATAGCTCTGAAATAACAGAATCAGGCATTAACACTAAAAAACATAAAACTTTGTACTTTGAAAGAACATCAAACCATAGGGATCTGAGAGTAAATCGGCCTTAGCAAAAAAAAAAAAATCTCATATTTATAAAGCACTTTCAGTTTATACAATGCTTTCCTATCCCTATCTTACAAGACTCAAAAATGTTTATTGAAGTAGGGAGGGCAGATTCAGCTCACTTACACTCCATGCTAACTGCTCTAATTTTTATCTGATTTGATTCTCTCAAAATTGTGTTAATTCAACATACATTCATTCAGTTCACAAATATTTGCATGTCTACTAGGTTCCAGAAACTAAGTGCTGGAAATAAAATGGGGAAGAATAAAAACTTGTTCCCTGCCTGCAAAGAGTTTCCAAATAATTTTAAGTCCAACTGCTACAAAAAAAAAAAAAAGAAAGAAAAGATAGGGTGATATGGGACATGTTATAGAGAATCCTAACCTAGAAAGTCAGGAAAGCCCATTCTAAGTAAGTGACTCCTATCTGAAAGATGAGTATGAGTTAGGGAGGCACAAATGGAGAATGGGTACAGGAAACAGCAGATGCAAGAGTCCTCAGTTGGGAGCAGCATGGCCATTTCCAAAGAGAGAAGTATAGTAACCTGGAATATAGTATGCAATAAGGACAGTTCTACAAAATAAGACTACAAGTGAGTCAGTCAACACACATTTGATAGCCTACTATGCATCAGGCACTGTTCTGAACACTCACAGAGTGGGTAAAAAAAGAGACATGATTCCGTCTTTAAGGGAGTACACTTTAGGAGATGTGGAGAGCAACAATAAACATATAAATAAGTGTAATTTGAAGTACACCAAGTACTATGAAGAAAATAAAATAGGGTTTTGTAGTAGTGCCTGGGAGGCTGCTTTAACAAGTGTGGCTAGCAAAGGCCTTTCGGAAGAGATCACAACCAAGTAGAGGCCTTAAAGAAAAGTGAAACAACCACGCAAAGTCAAGGGGAAAAGTATTCCAAGCAGAAAAAAACCCCAAAAAACCCCAGCAAGCACAGATGCCCTGTGATGGGTGGATTAATGGACAAAAAGATCAGTGTGACTAGAACATAGAGAATGAGGACAAGAATAGAGAGGGATGAAGTCAGAGAGCTAGGCAGGAGCCAGATCACATAAGGCCTGCAGGCCATTGTAAAGAGTTCAGGTTTTATGCTAAAGATTTTAATTTTTTTTTTTTTTTTTTTTTTTTTTTTTTTTTTTTTTTTTTTTNCTGCTCAGCTCGGGCTAGACTCGAACCGCTGTTGCTCAGAGCTCAAACTCTTGAGCGAGCTCTTAACCAACTGAGCCACTCGGCCGGCCCTTATGCTAAAGATTTTATAGAGAGTAAAATTATTTATACTTTAGGAATATGACTGGCTGCTGAGAAGATGAACTGTTAAGAAGGCAAGAGTAAAAACAGAAAGACCAGTTAGGAAAATTTTATAGTAGTGTAGGAGAAAGATGCTGATTTGGACTTTGGGGTCTTAGTAGTTAGTGAATAGTTGGATTTGGGGTGTATTTTAGACTGATGGACTAGATGTGGGAATCAAGGATGTTGCTAGACTGAAGACTTTGCTGTTAGGTGGATATTGGTACACACCCTTTACTGAAATGGGTAAGGATGCTAGGGAAAGAGGTTTGTGGAGAAAAATCAATAGTTCTGTTTTGGTTAAGTCTGACAGGCCTATTAGGCATCCTAGTGGATATGCCAAGGGGGTGGTATCCTATTGTGCAAGGTATAAAAATCAGGATGGAAATATAAATTTGAGTCATCAGTGTTTAGATTGCATTTGAAGCTATTGGAACAGGTAAGACCATGTAGGGAGACAACATAGAGAAGGGATGACGACCTTCCTTATAGGCCAGGTTATGGATGATGGAGTCTATCCTAAGAGCAATAGGGAAGCACTGAAAGGCATAATTAAAAAAATGACACCACCACATAGCTGTGAGTTAGGGGGGGAAAAAAATCCCTCTGGTTGTAATGTAGGAAATAACCCAGGACAAGAGCAAATGAAAGAGCACCAGCTAGGAGACTCCTGTGATTCCAGGCAGAAGCTGATAGTAGTCTGGTCTACAGCGATGAAAGTGGAGATGAAGAAATGTGGACTAGGAAGATGTCTACTCATGATTCGGTGACTTGATAGGGTGACGGACAGACAAGGACGATTCCTAGTTGCTTGAAATAGGCTAAAAGACAAAGGTGCCACTTAATAGGAGCCTTGGAGGGGAAGATGTTGAGTCCTTATTTGGACATGCTCCATTTGGAGGTGCCCATGCCACGAGATACCCAGGGTCTAGGTAGACTGTTGGATACGGTGGTAGGTCTACTGTCTCCAGGCATGCGGATGAAGACACTGAAGTTACAAAAGCCAAGGGTGTACAGAAAAGGATACCTGCTGGAACCTTTCTGTCCACATTTCCAGAGGCCAAGATCCAAGGCCCCGAGGGGCTGAGCAGATACCTCACTGAGCGCCATGACTCAAATACTTAACTTCCTATGTTCAAACAGGCATTTGAAAGCCAGAAACGCATTCCAATCATTGAGACATGATGTGACAAGAAGCGCTTCGACGGAAGTCTTGCTTTATTGGCAACTGCTAAGCCTGGGTTCTGAGAGGGTGGCTATAGATCGGCATGCACACTTTTGTTACGAAAAGAGGTTTTTGTTGTTGTTGTTGTGGTTTTGAAAGAGGGTGGGGTGTGGGGAGCCCGGGGCCTGAGAAGACTGGAGCGCTGCCAGAGAGGCAGCCTTCTGCGCTGGGTGTGGCATGGCATAAAGACCGGTCCCTGAAGTCGAGTGGACAGACGGGCGGACGACGTTGTCCGCCTCCGTGCTGCTTGTGGAAGGGGGTCCGTACCCGGCTCGGCACAGACCCGGCGCTTGGCAGAGGCCCAGACCTCTTTGCCCTCCCTGCCCACCCCGGCTCGCCCTCCATCCTGCGCAGCTGCAACCTGAGCACCAGGCTGCCGCCTCGACCAGGAAGCCCTGAGGTAGGCAAAGCCAGGCGCTCCCTCAGGTGTCCTGGGCGTCCGAAGGGGCCTGGGACTATGAAAGTTACGTCAGGGGACAGCTGTGGCACCGTGGGACCAGGCCGGAAATCACCGGGGGCGGGGGGGGCGCGGGGGAAGCAATGAAAAGCCAACCTCACAGGAGCACCAGGCCGCAGGGGGCCGTTACCTCACACCCAAGAACCTCACAGCTTCAGTCAGACTCTTTTTCACACACTAAGGGTTCTTCGCGCCTCATAAAAGTGGCCTCGTCAGGAATACCGACTAAGGAACGCTCTCTGAAAAAGGCGGGCGACGACCTCGTACGAAGGCAGGACACAGGCCTGGCTGAGCCGCGCGCCCTCAGCTCGTGACGCGAGCCCACCAGGCTTTCTGCGCACGCGCAGCTACGCTGCCCCCACCCCGCCCGCCGTGCCTTCTGCGCACTCGCAAATGCTCTTCCCCGCTGGGCGCGTCCGCGGGCGCGCGACCCCAGATTTGGCCGGGGTCTGCATGCGCGCGCCGCTGCGACGCGGTCCTAGGGTCACGCAAGTCCGAGGCCCAGAGCGGCCTGTGGCCCCCACCTGCTGGAGCTCAGACCCTGGGCATCTTTCAGTAGTTCCCGGGACGTACCCAGCAATAGTTCATTTCACGCCAAGCACGTGCCTCGAGTGGTCAGGTCAGGTACTATGGAGTGCAGAGCCCCTACTGTGTGTGGAACTTCTGTACCTGTTCTCCTTTAATCCTCTCCGCCCGTGCTGTAAAGCAGCTATGACTATCCCAATTTTATAGAGGCCCAGAAATGGGAGCGAATTGTGGAGGTACAAGGTCTCCAACACGGATATATGTGATTCTAGCACCCAGCACCTTCCCTTGCGCTTCCTGCTGATCAAATTCTGACAGTTTTGTGCAATATTAAGTGATTTGGCTCCACATCTGCTGGGTAGGACCGGGGGGGGCGCCAGGGTCTGCCTTCCTGATAATGGACCTCCCCACTTGGGAGCTACTCCTGGGGCAACTCATCCCTATTGTCCTTCATTATCCTGTCTCTAACTTAACTGCCCATGCTACTCCCTCTGCATGCAATGCCTCCTCTACTCCTAAACCCTACCCCACCGTGCTGTGGAAGGAAAAGGGGTTCTACAGAAAGTAACCTCACAGGGTGATCTGATCATAAATTCCTAACAGGGCAGGTCATGGTGGGTAGTCACACCCCAGGCATATAACTTTAGTAAAAGGTTTGTCTTTGCCTTAAGCCAGCCCTGTCCATTGTTTTTGTGCATCTATGTTATCACACCTTTGAAATAAGCAGAACCACACTCAAGAAAGCACATAATCTGTTTAACTATCCTGTAATCCAATCCCCACTTTGCTTTCTCCCACCCTCATGTAATCTTCCTTACTTGCCCTCCTTAATCTCAAATATGTAAAACATATTTGCATAAAACTGCAAAACTGTTATTCTCCAAAGCATTTGAGATCTTGCTCCCTGGCAATTGTCAGTTTGCTCAAATAAACTCCCAATTCTCTACAGGTTTGGACGTTCTTATATCAGCAATGCCCAGATAGTAAACTCCTTGAAGCCTGAATCTTGTGTATCTTTTCGAACTCAGGGCAAGTAAGTGCCTACTACTGGATGGTACTCACAGAGGCTTAGGAAAGCAAGGCAGGGGGGCAAAAAAAGGAAAGAAGTGGGGGAGAAGGGGAGAGAAAGGAAACTGGATATCAGGAGGGCATCTGCCTCATTTAAAGAGGGCATCTGCTATCCAGTCCCCCACTGAAGGGAGCCCTGTGGGAAGTGTGGTCTGGTAATGCCAGATCTTATTTTCATGGGAAATCTCCCAATTTAAAAAGTTGGCTACTAATTGAAAAACTTGAATACACTGTGTAGACTGAAGCTAACACTTGTTGGCAGTCCCAACTGTTGAACCACCCAATTTGTGACACTGACCTTGCTTGGCACAGAGTAAAAGTTAACCAAGTTGATAGGACTAGAGTCCCAGCTCAGGGCTGCCTTCTGACTGCTTTTGGGTGCACATCCCTTGCGCTCTCTATTCCTGGGAACCAAGGGAAAGACCCTTTCTTGGGTGGGGTGGAGATGGAGTCAATGCAGGGTTAAGGAATCAGACTTCTCATGAGGCTGGAGAAAACTGTTCCATACCTACGCTGTTTACTTGCAATCTACCTACTTGGATATTATTTATACCTAAGATTGTGGTACAGAAGGTCATGAGTCAAGTGGCCACCTGTGTGATGTGCATGATGATTTCCTGTAGAGGAGGGCAGAAGAAATAAGCAGGTTAGATACAAATAGCCTTCAATTTCAACCAGCCTGGAGGGAAATAGGCAAAAACCCAGGGGATTCCAACCAGAGGGCTTTATTACAACCCCAAATAACTGAACATCTCACATGAACTACAGAGTGTCAAGCGAAATAAAAGGAACGCACAAACACTTTGAGTGAATGAGATTGAACCAAAGTACCTCCTGGCAGACACAGACACTGCTGTTGAGGCATGGGAGCAGCACCTGAGATGGCTTTTCAGTCCATGTGGCCCACTGGCATTTCCTTCCTGCTTGAAGAGAGAGGTAGCTCCATGTTGGGCATCATTGTTTGTGATGAGGCCAGGGCTGCTTCCTGTGGGTCTCTGGCTGAGGGGCCATAATGGGTTGCATCAAGAGGGAGAGGGAGGAATTCTCACCTGAAACCTCAGGACACCCTTGGGCCAGAGGAGGGGCAGAGCCAACACCTGAGAGGGAATGTTAAATGCCAAAATTCCAGGAGAGGAGTTAGGGTAAGTAACTGAAGTGGAGGGGCTGAGGTGAGTTTTTAAGAGAGTGGATTCAGGAGTTTGGAGGCAGTGAGATAAAGGGATAACAAATATTTGCTCAATCAGTAAACATTGATTGAGCAACTGTTCTATTGATATTCCTTCCACCAATTTTCACTCCTCCTTCCTCTGAGTCTAGCCCAGTTTTTTACATGACATGTTCTGTGTACAGATTAAACAAATCAGGAGATAAAATGCACCCTTGTCTGACACCTTTGCCTATAGAAAACCATTCTGTCTCTATAGTCTGTCCCAAAAGGGGCTTCCTATCTACAATACAGGTTACGCATCAGGACAATCAAATGCTTAGGCACGCCCATTTCTTTCAGAGCAACCCAGAGCTTTTCATGATCCATGCAGTCAAGGTTTTACTGTAGTCTACAAATATAGACTAACCTTCTGAAATGCTTTGGAGCACTCCAGTATCCAGCGAATGTTCGCAATTGGATCTCAAGTGCTTCTTCCTGTTCTGAATCCAGCTTGAACATCCAACATTTCTTGCTCCATATAAGGTAGAAGCCTTTGTTGCATCACCTTGAACATCACTTTACTTGCGTAGGAAATTAGAACAATGGTTCTATAGTTACTGCACTCCTTTCTTGAAAATTGGGATGTATATTGAATGTTTCCAGTCTGTAGGTCATTGTCTTGTTTCCATATGTGAACATATTCTTGTTAGGATTTGAACATCAAGAAGACAAAAGTCATGACTACAGAAGGAATACACAACTTAAACATAGACAATGAAGACATCAAAATTGTTAAAGATTTTGTTTACCTTGGTTCAGTCATCAATTCAAAAGGAGACTGCTGCCAAGAAATCAGAAGTGCGGCAGTTGAAGAATTAGGAGCAATCACCAAGAGCAAAGATGTGTCATTAGAGACCAAGGCTAAGGTCATCCACAGCCTCGTATTCCCAATTACTACGTACAGATGTGAAAGTTGGACAGTGAAGAAGGCTGACAGGAAAAAATATGATTTATTTGAAATATGGTGTTGGAGGAGAGCTCTACGGATACCCTGGACCACCAGAAAGATGAACAAGTGGGTCCTAGAGCAAATTAAGCCTGAAACATCTCTGGAGGCAAAAATGACAAAACTGAAGCTTCCTACTTCAGGCACATCATAAGAAGGCAAGAAAAGACAATAATGCTGGGGAAAATTGAAGGCAGCAGAAAAACAGGAAAAACAAATATGAGATGGATTGACTAGATAAAGGAAGCCATCAGCATAAGTCTACAGGAGCTGAGCAGAGTTGTTGAGGATGGGACATTGTGGACATCACTCTCAGGGTCACCAGGAGTCGGAGCTGAGTCAACGGTACATAACACACACACAGCTGTTATATGTAAGCATTGTTTTAGGTTCTTGGGGATACAAAGTCAACTGCCATCATGGAGATGATACTGAGGTCAAATGAGGTGGCAGAATTGTTTGGGGGTGTGTTCAATCCTGTGACATCATCTAGAGCATCAGCCAGATGTGGAGCTTGCGTTAGTGAGCCACCCAGGAAGGTTGTATGGACTGACTAGAGGTGGGACAGACCCTAGCCAACACAGTTAACAAAGTGAGACGGGGTGCCACCTCTAGTGTCTGCCTTGTCCCTTGGGATTCTTTTTTTCTTTAAACTGGTATTCTTTTTTAATTTACATGTAGTACAATTCACTGTTTTTGGTGTATATGTAGATGATTTTTAACATACACGTAGATTCAAGGATAGATCAGAATAGAGAATAATTTCATCATTCCAAAAAATTCCCTCAAGTTGTGCCTTTGTAGTCAAACCCACGCCAACCCCTGGCAACCTGTTCTCCATTTCTCAAGTTTTGCCTTTTCCAGAATGTCATATCAACAAAATCATACAGTATGTAACCTTTTGGAATTGGCTTCTTTCTCTTAGCATAATGCATTTCAATTTATCCATGTTGTTGCAGATATCACTAATTCCTTCCTCTTTATTAGTGGGTACTATTCTATTGTATAGATAGACCACCATTTATTTATCATTTGCCTACTGATGGACATTTGGGTTGTTTCCAGTCTGGGGCAATTTTGAATAGAGCTTCTATAAGCATTCACATACTGGTTGTTGTGTGAACTGCAGTCTTTGTGTTTCTCAAGTCGTACCTAGAAGTGGGGTTGCTGGGTTATAGTCAAGTGTGCGTTTAACTTTATAAGAAATTACCAGCCTGTTTTCCAGAGAGGCTGTACCATTTGGCATCCCCACTGGCAAAGAATGAGAGTTCACTTGCTCTGCATCCCCACCAGCACTTGGTATTTTCAGTTTTTAAACTTTTTGCCGTCCTAATGGACGTTAATGGTATCTAGGTGTAGATCTAATTTGCATCTCCCTAATGACTAATGATGTTGAGCATTTTTCACTTGCTCTTGGGATTCTTGAGAATTAATAAATTTGTACCCCTGTTCAGAAACCAACTTACAGTGCTAAAAAGACTTATCTGGATTCACACTTG